GAATCTGAAGTTCTTATCTGCCCCTGTAATAACTCACTGGCTCACTGGTATCCAGTTGAGGGACTGCTGGTACCTGCCAAACCCTCTGCACTTAGGACCCCAGAACCGAGCCTCTCCTCCTCTGGTTGAAGAGGATATAGGAAGTATCTTTCATGACATCTAAATTTTAATTCACTGTCAAAAGGATTTTTTTCCCCCTTAAAACTTATACTTGAAATGTAATTTCATTTCTCTAGGTTTCTCAATGATAAAAACGAGAAACTATCTGGTTAGACAAGTATGGTTTAGATCAGAGAGCAAGACCATGCATGTAACCACTCTAACAAAGAAACTGCACCTTCAGTTTCTTCCTTTCCATCCCCATGCAGTAAGTGTCTCAAACAAGAAATGACTTTCAAAATTTGCCCACCCTCTCATGCTGGTTTAGTTTATACCTTCCTGCCTCCATCACTGCTAAGAGCCTTTTAACTGACTTTCATGTGAGACTCACCTCTCTCCAATCTGCCATCCAAACTTCCCTCATCATAAATATGGCCATGCCCTTTCCTCTTAAATCTCAGCAATGGTTCTCCACTGTCCTAAGGCATCAGTTTTAAAAATCTGGTTCCAATGTATTTCTCCTCTCCTCTCAGTCTCATCTTACATTAGGCTTCCTTTCCAGACAGCCTGTACCTTAGAAGGAAGGAAGGAAAAGAGGGCAGGAAGGAGGGAAGGGAGATTTCCTGAAGCCCTGGAAGTGACATAAGCCTCAAAACTGCCACCAAAATAATTTTCTTAATGTTCAATCTGATTATACCATTTCTTAGCTTAAAACCCACAGTGTGCTAAGAAAGATAATGTTTAACCTTGTTACTAAAGCCTTTTGATATGAGGTACTCAGCCTGTCTCAGTTCCCATTAATATAATCACACTCTACTTGCATGGGTCACTACTCAAACTTATCCATTCTTTCCTTCCTTCACGTTGTTGCACAATCTCTTCTCTCTGACCCCCATTCCCCTTGTCAAATCATATTCACCTTTGAACTACTGCAAATGCATCCTTACCCACAAAGACCTCTATGATCTTCAGCTAGAAATGTATACCCAGTCTCTGAACTCCATAGTGTTAACCCTATAACCTTGTTTTAGATTGGTGATTCTCAATCCTGGTTATTCCTTAGAATCAGCTTAAAAGCATTTTAAAAATACTGGTAACCAGATCCCACCACCACTGAGAATGCGCAGCCTAAGTACTGGCATATTTTTAAAACTGCCCGGATGACTGTGATATCAAGCCAGGTTTGAGAACCACTCTACATAAAAGTCTTTGGTGTACACTACTTTCTCTAGTGGAACAAGAGGGTCCTGACTTATCTTCATAATCATCGTTATCACCATACACACAATACTATTCAGAAAATGACAGAAAATGGGGGGGTGGGGTGGTGGTGCAGAGAAACAGGAAAAAAGATGAATTCACAACACTTCAAAACTTAGTAACTAAACTTGAAGCCCTAGTCTCCTAAATTCCTGGAAGAAATGATAAGGGTGCTGTTATTTGTATCACCTGTTTAAAAAAATTCTCCGCTACAGTATTAAAAAAAAAAAAAGGCAGGCAAAATCTCATTACTATTGAAGGAGCCACTTTGTCTTGGGGGAAGAGATTATTTCACATCATCTGGAAATCATACATTTACGTAAACTTAAGACTCTAAAATATTTGCTGTAGAATAATTTCGGTTTCTGAGATGGGGTAAGAAAGACCTCTGCCAATCACAGATAAGAAGAAAAGAAGAAAGTAGTAAATAGATCCTTAAAAAGAATTCTGGGCCGGTCCCTAGCCACCCAGAAAATTGTGGAAGAGGGAAGAGAAGCATTAGACTCAACTTTGGAAAAGAAATTATGCTCACATTTCTTAATCACAGACTAAGAGGGTATAAGGCTATAGGAACATTAGAATAACCTTAATCAAAGACAAGACAAAATACTGTATGTTTAAAAAGAATTTCCAACTAATGAACAGTTTGGGAAGTTCTGAGAATTTCTGTAACCCATCTGAAATAAAGCTTCACTGAAATCATGGATTGCTATCTATTTTCTAAAGAACTGCTGTATTCAGATATAATTCAATACCATTAAATTACCTTTTTAAAGCATACAATGCAATGTTTCTTTAATAGAGGCAAAGGGTTTTTCAGCTCTTACCGCTATCTAACTTCAGAATGCTTTCTTCACTCCATAAAGAAACCACATAACCTATCATCAGTCACTCCCCTAATTCCTCTTCTCTGTCCCAGGCAATCACTTTTCTGTATATTTGCTTATTCTAGACATTTTACATAAATGGACCTTATAATGTGTAGCCTTTTATGTCTGGTTTATGTCAAATTGCATCATGTTTTCAATTATATTTTTTTATATTGTCAACTTATAGTACATTGCATGGATATACTATATCATGTAGTCAATCATTTAGTAATAGTTTATTGAGGCTTTGGGGATCTTACAATAAAAAAGGCCTTGTTTTTAAGAAATCCTGATAGCTCAGTTGCTAAAGAATCCACCTGCAATGCAGGAGACCCCAGTTGTTCGATTCCTGGGTCGGGAAGATCCCCTGGAGAAGGGACAGGCTACTCATTCCAGTATTCTTGGGCTTCCCTTGTGGCTCAGTTGGTGAAGAGCCTGCAATGTGGCAGACCTGGGTTTGATCCCTGAGTTGGGAAGATCCCCTGGAGAAGGCAAAGGCTGCCCACTCCAGTATTCTGGCCTGGAGAACTCCAAGGACTGTATAGTCCATGGGCTTGCAAAGAGTCGGATACGACTTAGCAACTTTCACTTTTACTTCAAGAAGTTTTAAAAGGTGGGAGAAGGTGAGGGTGGGATGTTTCGAGAGAATGGCATCGAAACATGTATATTATCTAGGGTGAAACAGATCACCAGCCCAGGCTGGATGTATGAGACAAGTGCTCGGGCCTGGTGCACTGGGAAGACCCAGAGGAATCGGGTGGAGAGGGAGGTGGGAGGGGGGATGGGATGGGGAACACATGTAAATCCATGGCTGATTCATGTCAATGTATGACAAAAACCACTACAATATTGTAAAGTAATTAGCCTCCAACTAATAAAAATAAATGAAAAATAAATAAATAAAAATCAAAGGTGGGAGATAAAGAGAATAATGGATCAATGACAGACTTAAGAAACTGATGGAACACAGAATTCAGAATGAAAAATGAGGCTGGGAAAGACAGACAAGAGCGATCACAAAGGGCCTGGTGCCATGCCAAGTGATCTGGACTTACTGCTCTACGCAAAAGAGAACCTCCCTTCAGAAAGAGTCTTCCCCCTGCCACTTCCTTTTGTCTTATCTTCCAAATCCTACAGACAGAAACCCAAACCGTAAACATACACACTCACACTCATCTCAACTAAATAAATTACTACCCATTCTTCAAAGCACCCTCCACAAAGCATTCTCTGATCATCCTGTCAAACAACTCTAATGGGACCTTTTTCACAGTATTTATCATACACTGATAAATGCTAATATAACTGCAATTATCCCTGCTGAAGAGTGATCTTCATAAAAGCAAGGGTAGTATCAGTATTTCTGAAATCCAAGCAGTATAAATGCTGAATGAATACATGGAAAAAAATGCAATAGATTTGGCAAAAAGTAGATCTCTAGGAGGATGAGAACAGAGAATGGCCAGTTTCGGTGAAGAATCTGGGTGTGGAAGTAAAAACAGAGAATGTTGATGGAAGCAGCACAAGCCTGGGAAGATGAACGAGGTCACGGGCAGCGAGAAGTAGAGAAACAGAAGGGGTGATAATGGCAAGTGAGTACCTGCCATGCCATGTGCCAGACAAAATACCAGTGCTTTTGTACATTTAATTTTTTCAACAGCCTACGAGATAGATATTATTAGCCTCATTTTACAGGAAAAGAAACAAGTTTGAAGAAGGAAACAAACAGTGGCAGAAGTAGGTTTCTACAACTTATGTTTATTTGCAAAGGCCATGTGCATTACTATCTGCCATATGCCACCCCCTTTTATAACTGTGCTTGGGATTGCACGAGCACGTTTAACTGTTTTTTACTTTTGACATGAAAATACACAAGTATGTAGCTGACTGATTATATCCTGAAATCCACCAAAACTAAGTCACACTGACTATGAATAAATTCCACAGTCAAACTGGTTAAAAGGGACACTTGCTCATTACTCTCAAACAGAAATATCCACGAAAGTTTCCTCATCTTGCTGTCAATAAATAAGCTGTGTCTTAAAAATTACATAAGGCTCCTTTTAGACATGAGTAGAATGTTACACACTTTACTAAATCTAAACAACTTTCATTATTTACCCCAAGGCTAACTCAAAATTTGTCCTATAATTGGGAGAAGCATTTTAAACACAGCATTATAACTAAAGGCAAGTGTCAATAAATAGTTTAAATTCAGTATTACTGCAACAGATAAGAATATTATTTTTCATAATATCTGTATTTAGCAGTTACTATTTAGATGAGGATTTTTCATAATACTCACTTACTATAGCTTATCATGAAATTTAATAATGCATAGCATGTGTATTTAATGGCAATATAATTAGCAAGTGAAGTACTGGCTTAGTGATATTATTGCTATGTGTATTTAACAATTACAAATAGGAAAAAAAGTTTAACTCAAAAACTTGCCTCTTTGAAAAGCAAATAATGCACTGTGTTACAAAACAAATGCACAAGCACAAGCAAGACTGGAGTATCATCTACTCAATAAAAAGTGCCCCCAAATCTATGTCACTTGAAACAAAAAAGCTGCAGCAGGCAAAAGAGCTCCTCGATTATTTCTTGCTTTTCAGAGTTAATGTAAATGATATTAAAGACTTTTGTATGACTTTCACCAATTATAATTTCTATGTTGAAAAGTTTGTTTTTAAAGACACAAACTGGGGCTAAATCTTAGAGATTATAGTCAACGGAGCTATTTCTGCCTGCCTACACTTGAGAACTCACCACATGTTCAACACTTTCTGGCAGCTAAACACAAAAAAAATAGAAGGAAAAAGAGAGAGAGAGATATCATCAGAAACTGCCCACACTGAAATTATAACATTGTTTTCATGCTTAATTTTTTTCCAAGCAGAATTATTATAATTTTAACAAAAAAACAACTAATTTAAAACTAGTATTAATACATGCAGCATACCACAAAATTAATATTTTTATGTTTACAGAAAAACATATGCCTCTAAAGTATAGCAGTAATTTTCATGCACTGAAATTCCTAAAACTAATAAGCTAAAAACATGCTATTAACTCTAAATAAGAATTTGAGCACAGTTCTTAAATAACTATTTTTGTATTATTAAAACATTTACTGAAATAGCACTATTTAAAACTTAGTGGTTAAAACAATTAAGTATACCAACTTGTTTTGCATGCACCTATTCCTTGAAAAAAATTTCCTTAAATAACTGCACATGACTGTAAGTCTCAAACATGCACAGTTTAAGGAAAAAAAGTGACTAAATCAAGCAAAACCAATACATACTTGGTTTCATCCATCACCTCTACTTCTGTAGGGGCTGTGATGGGTGCATTTGAACGTCCTGCAGTAGGGTCATCTGTGTTTAATTCTCCATTTGTAGAACTTACAACCTGCAAAAAAGAAAAAGAAAAAAATATATACACACACACACACACACACACACAAAAAGTAATAAGCTATACAATGATAAACATAATTAAAGTATTTAAATTAGAAAGTTAATATGAAGAACACAAAATAATTAGTATGTAGTTGTTCATAACTAAATATACTAACAGGTCTACATTAAAGATGAAGTCATTCAACACTTGCTTTTCAACTTACTTCCTGATCATCTCGAAATTTCTGTCCTGTCTGCTGTCCTCTGGTTTTTAAGGCTAATGCAGTCAGTTCCCTTTTGGGTACTCATCTCCTTTGGTACTTCGCTACATCATGAATTATCTCCTTTGGAAACTTTAATATTGTTCTTCCAACAGATCCTCCGTTTCAGTCGGTAATCATGCTCAGGTCTCACCCTCATTTTTGTCCATTCATTCACCCAGTTTTTCAAACCCCAAATCTAGGCATCACTGTGATTCCTCTCTTTGACATAAACCATCAGCAGATTATGTTAAATCCTCCCTGACACAAACCCCAAACTTAACTGGTTCTCCCCATTCATAAGACTACTAGAACCGTAATCCAAAGCACCACTGTCTCTTGAATTGAAGAAGAGCAAAAACCGATCAACTGGTCAGCTTTTATTTATATCTACCTCCCATTAATGGATTGTCCACATGACAACCAAGATGTTCCTTTAAGATGTAAATCAGGCAACGTATAACTCTGCTTAAAACTCTTATGATGTCAACTTTATGGTTTCATTTGAAATAAAGATCCATATCCTTTACTCCAATTTACAAAGTCCCACAAGATCTCAATCCTATCTACCCCTTTGATCTCATAGCACCTTCCCTTTGTTCATTAGCTTCCACCCAACAGCAAGCTTATTTCCAGCTAAGACCTTGGCATTATCTTTTCTCACTCCCTGGAATTCTCTTCTTGCTTACTGGCTGTTTTCTTGTCTTTCAGATTCTCAGAGAGTAGAATTTTTTTCAACATATAATCTAGAACTTATGTGCAGAACACTCTTATATGTTATACTTCATTTATAATACTTTGTATAGCATTTATCAATATTGATGTTTTTCTGACTGACTGATCAGTTTCTTAATACCCACCCCAAACTCCATTAAAACTAAGCTCCATAACAGCAAGAGCCTTCTGTTATTTCCGGAGAGATCTCCTTACTTCTATGTGGCACAGAATAGGCACTCAATAAATATTTATTGGAATAAATGAATATATGCATGCATATAAGAGAGCTTGAAGAAAGATAAAAATCATAACACTCCCAAATTCTCTTGGTCCAACAAAGTCTCTCTACTGTCCTATCTCTTGTTTTCCTCTAAATGTAATAAAAAACAATCATCTTAATTTACCACTTAAATTTTTATAAAATTCCCCATTTATTCCTTAACTCCCCCCAATCTATACTCTGACCCTATATCAGAACTCGCATTGAGGTTTTTTTTTGAGGGTTTCCAGTAGTTCCTAAAAAGTATGTTAGTAGTCTTTGCTCAGTCTTCATTTGCCTGTACATCTCTATCACTTGGCACCAGCTAATGACTTTGAAGTGAGACAGAGCTATATTCAAAACCTAGTTCTACCACTTAACCACTTATGCGACTCTGGGAAGACATCTTACCTTGCTATACCTCAGTATTCTCAACTATGAAATTGGAAACAGAAATTTTCTGTTTAATAAGGTTTACATGAATAGGAAATAAAATTAATATATAAAATACAGTGACTGGCATATAGTAAGAGTTCAGCAAATGGTGGCCATCGTTATTACCATCAGTCTAACCTAAAGAACGGCTTCAACTATTACTTTTATGAAAAGGATTCCCCAAGCCTAACTGCTCACCTACATGGTTAGTTAGCTAGATCAAGTTTGGCATCTCGTTATTTCTAAAACCAAATTTATCATATTCCTTCTTAAATCTGTTACATTTCCTACAATCCCTACATTTACTAAAGCCCTACCCACTTCCCAGACCTCCAGGCTCAAAACCTCAGAATCATTTTTGATACTTTCTCTACGTGATCTCTTTATGATGTAACAAAAGTCTAAGTATCAGAGTTGACAGGTGACTAGTAGGCTTGACACTTCCATTTACTGAGGCCTGTATATTTCTAAAACTTAAATTCCAGGCTTCCATGGTGGCTCAGTGGTAAAGAATCCACCTGCCAAAGCAGGAGCTATGGGTCCAGTCCTTGATCCCAGGAAAATCCCACATGCTGCTGAGCACCTAATGCCATGCACCACAGCTACTGAGTCTGTGCTCTAGAGCCTGGGAGCTGCAACTGCGGAGCCCATGTGCTGCAAGCACTGAAGCTCAGGCACCCGGGAGCCCACACTGAGCAGCAAGAGAAGCCACCTCCCTCGCACCACAGCTAGAGAGCAGCCACTGCACACTGCAACTAGATGAAAGCCTGGTACCAATGAAGAGCCAGCACAGCCAAAAATATTAGGTAAAATTATATAAAAAGTTTAAGTTCTAAAAGGCAACAACAGGCCAAGCACTGTTCTAGGAGCTTGGAATACCAGAGTAAACAATACAGAAAAACATCCCTGTCCTTGTACACTTAATAGTCAGTGTAGAGAAATAGGCCCTCTCCCCCAACTCAAGGAGGATAATCAGAAATCAATCAATGTATTTAGACTAGGTCATGATTTATACAAGTTCCATTTCCTATAGCCTATATGGAACAAGTACTTAAGAAACGAGCACTGCATTTGTTCCTTCAGCTGAAAACACAAAGCTGCCTTGATCCTCTTTAGAGGCAATTCAATGGGAGGAATTCCTAAGTCACCCTCTCAGCTTCTGGGGCACGGGCTTCCTCCTTTCTGTCATTCTGTTGAACTCTGTGGTTCTGTGCCAATTTTCTCTCTTTCTGAAAATGTGAGAAGATATTTATTTGTTCTAATTACTGAATATAATTGGGTTCTTTATTTTTAAAATGTCAGAGCCTCTACCTTGAACTGGAAAGAAGCTAAAAAGCAGAATTCTTATCCCATACTTATGTATTCTCCATCACTTTTAACAAGCAGAATGCCTTGCATGTAGTAGACAACAGTTCAATGAACTATTTCCATTTTTATTCCCTTAACATGATAGTCAACAGGCTTCTCCCCCCACCCTTTTGTTCAATGGCCCTACATAGTTGGAAGGACATTCCTTATCCCATAAACTTATTGGCAGTTCCTCTGATGCATTGTCCCTTTTTTAAGCAGCATAAATAAAAATTTGAAACTCCAGTACTCTAAATTTCCAGCAACAGTATCTATACATGCACTGTAATTATATAATCTGATTTACTTCATTTCATATAATTTCATAACAAAGTTATATCAGACTTCAATAAATTTTACTTAAATTTAGTGAAATGTTTCAAATATCATTCTATGTGGCTGATCATAACCAGATTAAAAAGTTAACATCTGACTTTATAAAAATTCTAATGTAATTTTTCCTGGGCTCCCCAGATTCCCTAACTCTCTGAGTAAAAGCCAATAGCCCAGGGTCAGAATACAATCAATGTGGTAACAGAATTCTGCTAAGCTGACCCACTTAACAGCAATGACCTAAGAGTGAATCAGGCATTAAAATTGTTTCCACTTAAGAAAAGGAGTGGTCTTTTCTAAACAGATTTTACAAGAAGAAACAAAGACATAATATTATAAACAATGTGTCAATATCTTCTTGGAAACCAAAGGCAATTGATCAAACAAACAAAAATTATTTTTGTAAGTCAAATTTTGAGGAATGATTTCCACTTAGGTGACATTTCTAGAATGATAATTCAAACTAGAACATAAGATATCTGCAATATTCGTGTTTATCAGGCTAGTTTCTTCAGAGGATGAGACGGTTGGATGGCATCACCAACTCAGTGCACGTGAGTTTGAGCAAACTCCAGTGGAGCACAGAGGAGCCTGGAGTGCTGCAGTCCATGGGGTCGCCAAGAGTCAGACATGACAGAGCGACTAAACAACGGCAAATCTAAAAATCACACGTGCTTTGAGGTTTGACATTTCAAAAGGAAATTCAGCTATTTTATAGGATTTCTGTTTTGCTGTTCTTGTTCTTAAAGAAATGTTCATTGTTATTCCCACTTGATAAGAAACTTGGTGTAATTCTCATTTTAAGAGGTTTAAAAAAAGGTAACTAGGCTACAGTTTTACTCTCACAATATCAGAGTTAAAGGGGAGGCAATGGACAAACAGCCTGTAGCTAAGCAAGGGCAAAAAATAATGGTTCATTTAATGCCTGCCTGCCCCATCTAATTCCAAAAGAAATCATTACATAGACGAGTACAAAGACAACATGTCTTTGTACTCAAGGATGTTAAAAGGCCAATTAATTTAGTTTCCGAGTAGAATGAATTCAAATTCATTATACTACTATCTTCCTAAATTCTATTTGAAGTTTTGTGAGCATGTTATCAAATGCTCAGTAGAGGCATAATACATTAATGAACTAAATATTCATCTAGCCAAAAAATATATTAGAAATATTTAAAACATCATATATTTTACTTAAGACACTCAGCTTTTTCTAGAGGCATCTATAAGAAAGCACACTAGTAAATGAGATACAGTTAAAAGAGTAATTTTCAAAGAGTTTACAAGACCTGTTCTAGGGTTCAACATGACTGAAACCAGCTTTCTAACATACTCTAAAAGCTATAGAAATATAGTTAATATTCCAACTGATGACCCAAAGGCCCAGTGACATTCTCAGTGACTTTCAACAAAGAGAAACCAAAATAGATTCTCTATTAGATCTCTAAGTGATCTAATGTTCACTTAGACTTAACAGCACTCTATTCTTTGAGTATTCCAATCTTTCAAGATGTTACTGGAAATGATACTGGAAAAGTGTTAAATTCCTTAACATGAGATATCTGTTTTTCTTTCTTTAACAATAATATTTGGGCTTCCTGGTGGCTCAGACAATAAAGAATCTGCCTGCAATGCAGGAGACCCGGGATCAATCCCAGG